CCAGGCTTCTGCATCTTTAAGCTCAATAAAGATAGGTACAGCCTCTATTTCTAATTAAGAGAAAGTAAAATAGGTCAGAGTAGCTCATCAGCTTTCTGTGAGCCATGGGGACTTGATATCAGGGCTTGGAATGCATCCCAAGAGTCCTGTTTGGGATTGCTTCACTGCCCCACCAACCCTGTGTCCTGGTGGGCATCGTGGAGCTGGCCCTGAGCACCCCAGGCAAACACACAGGGATGGCCTGCAGTCCAAAAATCTGAGTATTTGAGCATAGAAGTGTTTTGGTTGGAAGAGACCTTCATCCAACCACCCCCCATCCCTGCCAGGTCCCCACTGCCCCGTGTCCCTCACCCCACATCTCCACGGCTTGGAAACCCCTCCAGGGGAGGGGACTCCACCACTGCCCTGGGCAGCCTGGCACAGGCCTCCACAGCCCTCCAGGGCAAGAAATTGTTCCCAAAATCCAACCTCAACCTCCCCTGGGGGCAACTTGAGGCCCTTTCCTCTTGCCCTCTCCATGGGCCCATCTCCAAATGGAGAAATGTCCCTGCAGGCCTGGGCTGATGGGAAGATGTTTTTTTTGGTGATGGGAAGACAGAGGTGCCACAGTGAGAGGGGGGTTGAACTGCTGCCAGGAGCAGTGGTTTGCAGCTCACCCCTCTTGGTGGGCATCAGGCAGCAGCACCAAGAGGCAGAGTGAGGCTCACATCCCTAACAGCTGCTTGGCAGGCCAAAAAATCCACTACACGTCAAATAAAAGCTTTTTTCCCCAAAAAGATCTGCCTGGGAGGAGCTCTTTCCCCAAAAATATCTGCCTGGGAGGAGCTCAAATGAAGGCAAATAACGTGTGTCAGGCTGAGGAGGCCACAGGAACATGGGGCACCACCATGGGCTTGGCTGTTGGCCGTTTGGGGCTCCTACACAAAGATGACCTTCCACCAAAAACTAGATCCTCCACTGGTGTGCTTTGGTGTTTGTTTCATCCCCTGCCCTCTGAGGAGAGAGGAAACTGCCAACCCCCAAAATTCCCTCTCAGAAAGAGGATTATGGGCCCCATTCAATGGGGATTAATGAAATGAAGACGTCCTGGGAGCCAGGCTGCTGAGTTCCTACCTCAGCTTGGCCCAGGAGAACTTCTCAGCCCGTTTAACCCTTACCTGCCTCCCCTTGTGCACGGGGAGGTGGCTCTGGGGGCTCTCTGGAGGTCTCAGTCAGGTCTGTGGGGGAGGCACACGAAGCTGAGGGGCTGTGCTGAGCTCCACCGTGGGCCAACGAGCAGAGGGGCTTCTGCCCAGCTTTGACACTGGGGTTTTAGGAGACCTGAACGTCCCACCAGTAGGTGAACTGGGGCTGGCTGGGCAGTCAGGAGTCCTGGGAGCTGGTGATGGGCATGCAGAGGAGGAGGATGGTGGTGGAGTAAGAAGTCTTTGATGTTGGCGTAGGGAACGTGTGAAGAGGAGGATGATGATGATAGGGAATATGCAAAGAGGAGGAGGAGGAGGATGATGGTGCAGTCAGAAGTCTTCTGCATTGGTGTAGGGCACGTGCAAGGAGGAGGTTGAGGAGG